TCCACATCTACAGACACTGAACACTTGAATAGGAGTAATTTTACAGCTGAAACAACCAAACTACTAAGACTTTTAAAGGTACAGTTTCCCTCTCTCATAGTGTGGATTGAAGGACTCAGCCTCCAAATCATTGCTTCCCAACCTTGGGTCTACTGATGTTCTTGGACTAAGAATCCCAGAAGCCCATAACTGCAGACTTCATTGTTCCATTTCTGAAGAATGGAAGAGAAAACACAAAGGTTGAATGCAAATGCAGGAGCAGCTGATAGCTCTTAATCAACCATTAAGAATATAAAACAAAGGTTAAATGTGATCCTGAATTCCAATTTTATAAATGAAGTAGCGTTCACATAAATGGCACAGGGCCATTTATTTCTCCAGTTTTGACATATTAATGTCAGCTAAGGTTTGACCACTGGCATAGGGTATAATCAGATAAACATATTTTGCACTATGGCACAATCCAGTGCAAGCTATTTTCCAGCACTCAGACAACATACAGGAGATTACAAACTTTCTCGACCCTGCTCTGTGCCCAAGCTGGACCGACCTTCCTTCCTTCCTTCCTTCCTTCCTTCCTTCCTTCCTTCCTTCCTTCCTTCCTTCCTTTTTCTCTTTCTCTTTCTCTTTCTCTTTCTTTCTTTCTTTCTTTCTTTCTTTCTTGAAGAGAGATCACTCCCAGGGAAGAGACCCTTTCAAGCATGATCAGACACGATCCTTTATCACTGTCTGATTGTATACTTAATATAAAAGGAATCAATACACTATGTCCAGCATGTAACGCAAGAACTGGCAGGGTAGGTCACACAAAGGGTCTGTTCACACCAGCACATATTTGATAACAATCGCTACTAAGCCTGACCACCAAAAACAAAAAGATAAATGTCATTCTGACTCTGTGTTACTCTACTCATTCTGTTTCACAGAATGCTAAGTAACTGACCAGCAAACATGTTCTAGTAAGAGGATTTGAGATTTAAAAGGCAACAAAGATAGCGTTTAGCCTGTGTAATTGTACACACCTTGCAATATTTTGGTGAAGCCCGGGTCAGCAACCAGTTTGAAGTGGAAACTTAATTTTTATTTGAATAAAAGCTTAAAGAACTAATTACTTTGTCTTCACCTACTCTTTCATCTCATCATAGTTAAGACAAAGACAGAAATTTTCTACTGTCCCTCTGGTTCCTGTCCCACTACCACTACCAGCAACAGAGGCTTTGATAGAGTTTTTGCCTTCTTAATCCCATGGCCATCTAGACATGATCTGGTACAATAAGTTACTTTTTTAAAAGGATTAATAACTGCTCATGGAAGTGGAAAATCAGTTCAGGGCCGTGGTGTTGAAGTACAGTGGACCCTTGACTTACAGACGGCTTGACTTACAGACTTTTTGAGTTACAGACTTCTCTGGCCGCAAAATTTAGGTTTGACTTGCAGACTGAGATTTGACTTACAGACCAGAAAAAAACCAAAATGGAACAAAAACGGCCTGTTACGGGATTAATCGGTTTTCAATGCACTGTAGGTCAATGGAGACTTGACTTACAGACTTTTTGACTTGAGAACCGCCTTCCAATACGGATTAAGTTCTCAAGTCAAGACCCCACTGTAGGTTTTAATTCCATTGTCACAAGCTCACAGAACAAGAAGAAGCAAAACGGTGATGGGAAATGTGATGTATAGGAAAGGTCCCATCCCCAACTTCCAATTCCTCTCATGCATTTAAGCAAGTCTTTGTGTAAGTGTGTATTTCTGTGAAGAGACAACGCAGATGCAAGGTCTAGCTGTGCCTACTACCACCTCTTTGACCATGTCTACCAGCATATGGCCCTATGCTGCGTGCAAAAAAAATTTGCCTACTCATGTTTTAAAACAAGGCACACAAGAGGCTTACAAGGAGATTTTCCACGTTTCTACTGCTCCAAGGAGTTCAATTCCTCTTGAAAACAAGGAATAAATTCCTTTTCAAGGTAGACAGTAGCATAGCAAATCCAGCAGCAACAGTTGTAGAGTGCAAAACCCTGCTGGATGCAGAAGGACACAACTGCAGAAACCCAGCCTCCAGGTATTGCCTGCTCCTGGTTCAATCTGTAAAACATCCCTGCTGTGCCTTCAGTATCTAGGGCACTAGTGCCCTCTCTGAACCTACATAAACCCCAGGTAAAAGCCCCAGCATGGGTTTATTAAGAATAAATCTCATTAGATCACCAATAGAACCAGTTACCTCAAGAGGTGAGTGCTCCGGCACTGGAGGCAAGAGAAAATTAGACAGCCACCTGGCAGATATCCTTTGATTTGGATCCCTGCCTTGAGCAGGGGGGTGGACTCAATGGTCTTATAGGCACCTTCCAACTTCACTATTCTATTATTCTATTTTGTGTCTCTCTTGATAGACCTGCCAGTTGAATAGATCATGGTCATATATTCAACACAGTAGATCTTGATGATGGCTAAAAAATTTGACATTTTTAATGATATGCTTCTAAATAAGATGGTAACGTGTGCGTTGGACTATACCAGGAGTCATGCTGCTGATATAATTTTTTAGCAAATGCTACTGAATTTCCATGCTGACCCAATTGGAGTTTGGTGTTGGCCATTGAACTGAGGGCTGAGTTCAAGGGCCAAGTTGTCATTTGGTGGGTAAAAATGTCATTTGGTAAATGGTTTGCCTAATGAAATCAGAAAGGCAGGAAAATCAAAGTGGTATATAATATATCCAAGAAAACTAAGCTGGTGCCAAATGAGATGTAGAGTAATAATTGAATTCTCCAGTGAAGCCTAAGACATTCCAAGTACCAAGATGCTAGGATTGGGCTCAAACTAAGGTCATCAGGCACTACATATCCTCCTGTAGCCACTCAGACAGCTATTATGTACAGTGGTGCCTCGGCTTACGACCGTCCCTACTTACGACCAATTTGACTTACGAACAGCTCCAGTCGCAAAATTTTGCTTCTACTTGCGACCGGAGCTTCCACTTATGAACAGAAAAAGGCAGGGGGGAAAGGCAGGAAAGTGAAATTGCAAACTGTAGGTGGCAAAAGAGGCTGCTTCTTTGTAGCCCTTTGTAGCCCTTTGCCTGTTATGTAAGGTAAGGTGTTGTTTTCTGCTTTTTAAAACTATTCTGGGTGTTTTTGCAGCACGGTTTTAGGATGGTGGTTATGTTTCTGTGCTGTGATGGGTCTTGGGGGTTTGTTTGTTTTTTGGGTCCCCCCCCCATTTCCGTTGGGTCTTGGGAGGTATGGTTGCTTTTTGGGTTTTTTCCCCCCATTTCTGATGGGTCCTGCATGCTTCCCTTGCTTTTCCCTTTGTTTTCTTAGCATTTCCGACCTTGTCCGTCTGTTCTCTGTGCACTTCCAATCTGCTCCGTTTGTTTTCTGTGCATTTGCAATGGGTCTTGCACGCTTGATTGCTTTTCTTTTCCCCCATCTTTGGCCGGAAGGGATTAATCACATTTCCAATGAGTCCTGCGGTGATTTTTTTATGTTTTTTCCTTTGGCCGGAATGGATTAATGGGGTTTCAATGCATTCCTATGGGAAATGGTGCTTTGACTCACTTATGTCCATCTTCTGGAATGGATTATGGTTGTAAGTCGAGGCACCACTGCATAGCTGAAGGGCAAAATAAAACACTTGCATTGTATTTGCTACTAGGATTTGTGTTGTAGAACTTTCTCCACTTCCCCTTCTTACCCAATTTAGGACTCACTAGGACTGAGAGAGTGCGCGTGCACACGTGTTTGGGGCTATAGACGAATGTCTGCTTTCTTCTTTTTTGAGTTTTGAGTAGATAGGTCATAATTAGTATGTGCTGAATCTGCTTTTCTGTTTCCCTCCCCATCTTATTTATTTTATTTTTCACTTAGTGTAACTGTCACTGCCTACTGGCTTTTGCATCATTTCCAGAACGGTGCCTGTGGGCAGAAGCGAAGTCTTTCTGCATTTCCCTTCCTATCCAAGATCGATCACATCTCCGAAACTGAGGGTGCTCCGTAGCTCCCATCCCCATTCCAAGTAACAGCCCTTGGTCTCCCTATTTACAATAAAGGCTTTTTCACAGGCTCTAGAAATGCACAAAAACAATCGCAGACCAGCACAAAGGCCAGATTAGGCTGTCGCCAGAATACCATAGCGCAGATCTATCACTTATTTGGGCATGGACACGGACCAGGGAGTGGAGGGGAGGCAGGACCCATCCAAAGTCTTGAGACAGGCAGGAGAGGGATGGGCGATGGTGAACTGATGGAATTTCGGCCAGAGTTTGGAATCGTTCGTTTTCAAAAGACTGTAATCCCTAGAATTTCCCAGCTGATGCGTGGCTACAAAATGGCTATAAGATTCCGAGGACTGCAGACCCCAAAGGAATACCTTGTTCTAAATCTGATTATGTGGAATTTGTAGTTCAGTTCTACCAGTGGTAGAACTGAACTAAGGGCAGAGCGGATCCTTCCGTGCCCTTTACTTCGGAAGTGGGGGCAGGACGTATGCCGGGCCCCTCATCGCCCTTCGTGGGCTTCTCGGAGGCCTCCGCCGGCATTTCAAGAGCGCGCCTTGAGCCCGTTCTAGCAGGGCTTCCGCTTGCCAAGGTGTGGCGGCGGCGGCGCCTCGGCAGCCCGTGAGGGGAAGAAGGGAAAAGAGCGTGAGCCACGGTTGAATCATCGGACGGCCTCCCCGTGCCTCTTTCGCTCTCCTCCTGCCGCTCCGCCTCCGCGACCTGGCCGCTCTTTGCGCCACACG